TACTATTTCAATGTATCTGAATCACGTCAGTTTATTTTTCTGAGATTATCCTCAAAGCATCACCGATTTTTAACAATGAAGTGTCATGCATCGTCAACTGTTATTAATCACTCGCATCTTCTGCATGATAGCTTTCATGGTTCTCCAAGTTTCCACGCCATACAATAGAACTGTCTTAACATTTGCATAAAAAATTCTGACTTTGATGTTGGTTGATAATGGTTTTGAGTTTTAGATGTTCTTCAGTTGTAAAAGTGCTGCTTTCGCTTTCTAGATCCGCGTCTTTACATCTGCATTAGATCCATGTTGCTCATCAACGATGCTGCCCAGGTAAGTAAAGGTGTTTACATCAAGTGTAATTTGGTTGGTGCATGTTGTGTTGTATCAGCAATAACCTACTATGAAAGAGAACAAACAAGACTTCAGCAGAGGAAGAAATCAGGAAGAAGTGTTGGAAGTAGATAGATAGGATACAAATTGCGCGAATCACCCAGTTGCATCACAAGGCAAACTCTGACTTCCGATCCCCAAGGGCAAAGGAAAAGAAGGAGAAGACCAAAGAACACATTACTCCGAGAAATGGAAGTAGACTCGAAAAGAATAAACAATAACTGGATATAACTGGAAAAGAGAGACCAGGACAGTGTAGGTTAGAGAATGCCGATCGGTGGCCTTTGTTCCACTACGGGTAACAGGCATAAGTAAGTAAGTAAGTAAGTAAGTAAGTAGGTAAGTAAAGTAAATAATTGTACTAGTTAAGATGTTTGACTGACATATTGAAATTTTTTTACAATGACGAATGGTTTCTTGTGGCATTTCATTTTTGGTACATACGCATGTTCATTGAGAATTATTTCTTATTTAAGTTTATGTCATGAAATTATCCTATGAAATTGATGGATATTAAATATTTGCCTATAAAAAAAGTAGTTTTTTTCTCTGATAAATAGTTATGTATAACCACCAAATCTTTAAGTTAATTTATGCAAATAAAAGTAAAGAATGATTCTTTTCAGTAGTAATATCATTGAACCATAACTATGTCTACATGTAACTAGTTATGTATGTGTACTCTTTCTTATACAAATACTATGGTCTCATTGCTTATGTGGATAACTGTACTACTATTAAATGTTTCAATTATTGAAGCAGCAATAACAATAATAATAATAATAGTACCAATAGTGAATATGTTACGCAACAATGAGCTCATCAAAATTCATCTAATCTAGCCTATATTATCGTTATTTATTATGATGAATGAACTAGTAGTAGCTTTGTTGTTGTAGCGTTTAAATATCTCTTGAAAATGAAGCAAATGTTTAAACTGATATCCACAAACATGGTGACATACATAAACGATACATACACACATATACATAATAATATGTATATACAAAGAATTAGGATGAATTAAAAGACGTTTATACAGCATGTTCTTCAAGTTTCGCTTTTTTCCTAAGAAGAAATGTCTAGAAGTAGACAAAACTATGAGGAGAATTAATAATAGTCAGTGAATGCATATTGGTAAAAATGAGTAAGCTTTAATGTTACACGTTCTTACAGTTTGTTATTTAGGAAACATGTTCTTCAAGCACAGAAATATCTCTAGGTCTTTATTTATGATAATTAAGCTCAAATTAAAGAGCTCACTGTGATCAATGTTCAATAAATGTGTTGTATTCAGCAGTTTTGAACACTTTGCAATCCATTTTAGTGAGTAAGTGTTGTGTATTTTAAAATGTAATTTTCTCTAGAGTTCATTTTAAAAATTTTTTGTGTTATTCTTAGTTAAGTTTTGTTTAAAATTTCGAATGAAAATAAATAATATATGAAGGTTTGTAATGAAATCTCCAATGAAAATCACACGTCATTATAAATAAATCACTTACTCATTAAATTGAGCAGAAAAATTGTTTTAAATGTTGAATATTACAGACTCATTTGTACAATGAAAAGTTGTGATAAACCTTTTTCTGATAGAAGTACTCTTGATAACATACAAATTTAGAGAACCATTTGCTAACTAGATACTTTGTTCTCTATTAAAATCGATCAGTATCGTGAACCTACAATCTCTTATTGAATAAACTCCATGATACTCTTTGCTTCTACTGAACATAAATCAATTAGATGATCGTATCAGGATTCAAATGATTTACATTGAAAATGGGAATCGATGAACAGTACTGTACTCGATGTACAACTTGAAATGCAAGATTTCAAAGGATTGTGGATAGATGAAAAACTTGTAAGAAGTAAACTGATTTCTAGTACTTTTCTTCTAGCTTACTTTATGATAATAGAAAACTAACCTCAAATATTTCAAGCAGAGTTAGATGTTAGTTCGTGGTGGAATCCAGAACACGTATTTCCTCCTATTTTGAACTCATCATTCGGATATATCTGCGTCTGTGACTCGAATCCAGCAGTTTCCGATTCAAACGCTCAATACATTATACACTGAGCTACTGAGTTCAGATAATCACTAGCTTACGTAACAGGAGTGAATTTTAATTCAGATATAAGAGTGTTTCGAATCTTTCCGTTGTTCAACAAATATACTGGATTTTAGTTCAAGTGTGGACATCAACATTAGGGTTCAGGGACATCCGGCTTATGAGTCTCGAATAGAATGACACCACTATTTTGCACTTCACTTCAAACCACTCTCCAACTTTGCTTAAAATGGTTATGACTCCATAGTGATTTCACGTCGATTCGTACACACTTCAAAACAAACTAATTAATTGCAGCTGTCAACATTAACAACTGAAAAGATTCAAACAATTCTTATAAATGAATCAACCTTAACTGTGTTAATGTTTCAAATTAACAAGAAGAATATTTTATTTTTATAAAAACAAAAGAATTATAAAATTTTTCTCAATGATATCTCAACTGAGTAAAAATTTGTATTTTGCTGACGTATTTCATGACTTAAAACAAGTCATTTCTTCACAGTGAATAAATAGCCGAGACAAATTAACATAAGTTTAAGTAGGAAAAAGTGAAATAAAACACAATCAGAATTATGATATGGTTTGAAACTGTCAATTTCATGTTATTTTTCGTTCAAGATGATCTTGTATGACACGTTTTTTCATTTTCTATTTTTTTAGTTATGTGTATTGAAAAAGGTTACGAAGAATATGTAAATGGTGACATAAAGTAGTGAGGGTTACAGAAAAATAATAATAAACTTTGTGGTGGTTGTTTGGATAAATAGTTCGACTTGGATAAACAGTCAGGCTTTCTTTCCTATTGAGAATATATTTGTTGATGGTGGGGGTTAGATCCCCAGAACTTACTTGGAAAAGGTCCCTATTTTTTAATTTTGAATTTTATTGTTTTCGTGCCAAAGACGCTTAGTTGACCTTCAGCTTACATTTCCCACTCGGAAAATCCTTGGCCGTCATTGGTTGATGGACTATTTTAGTACGCTATTTTGTGGCTCTCACAAAGGGTGTTTCTATCATTGTATAAATAAGCTTGATTTGTGTGCTTACCAACCTATACCTTTCTGGGTTCCTGTATAATACATTATCTACGCCTTATCAAGACTTCTTGATCTAGTCAGCTGGGTCTGGGACAATAGGATTAGAATAACCTATCGTATCACTGTATCGTTGATCTTCGTTCCATTTACTGAGTAAAATGAACTCGTAGCAACATTCAAGCATATCAACTAACGAGTATATCAATTGGCGATGGTGGTTTTTAAAACATGGATCCTTCTAAACTTGAATTATTACTTGAGCAGAAGCTGAAATCAATGCATGTGTTGACAGATATCGAGATTAGGCCTCGCTCACAGCCTAGCACATCTAATTCGACCACAGCACCATCAGTAGACGGTATCGCAAATAGCATTACTGAGTTTCATTATGATTCTGATGCCGATGTTACTTTTGATATGTGGTTTCGGCTTTATGAAGATTTATTTAAATTTGATTTCGTCAATCAAGATGATGCTTGAAAGGGTCGGCTGCTACTTCGAAAGTTGGGTGCAAGTGAGCTAGACAAGTACTGTAATTTGATCCTGTCTTTGAACCCAATTGATCCTCATTTTTAGACGTACTCCAGACGTTAAGCCAACACTTTGGCGACAACTCCTCATTGTTTAAAACTCGTTATCGATGTTTGAAGCTAATTATGAACGAAGACGATGATTTTCCCACACATGTGGGCGTCGTCAACCGTGAATGCGAATGCTTTCGGTTGAAGTCTTTTTCTTTGCTTAAAGCCCTCATCCTCATTTGCAGCTCCTAGTCCCAAAAGTTCAGTGACATAAGAACACGGTCACTATGTCGATTGGATCGAGATCCTAAACTCACACTTAGTGACATCGCCAATGGGTATCAATGCCTCATTAATCTGCAGCGTAACACGTCTATGGTTAGAGTGGTGGATTTAGTCTGAAGTACGAGTAGTTCAGCAGACACCTAACCAGAATAAATGTGTCCCTGCTCCTAGCTGGCACTGTGTTGCATGGCACTATGTACGATATGTTCGATATATCATGACAAGCTTTTAGTGGCCCGCGATTTGACTCCATTTCGGACGAATGATCGAGTATACAATGAAATAAATCCTGCTTTCTGTTTCTGTATATCATACTTAGGCAAATCCTGTTTTTGTGGTCGCGATAATAAGAAGCCAAATAGGCTTTCTCGGATGAATTCGTTTCATGCATTCATTTAAGCAGACAGACAGACAGACGAGAATGAAAAGCGTATAAGAAAAGCGAAGCGAAGTGGAGAAGACTAGTCAGTCAACTCTATGTGATGAGACATGACCAAGTATTTATAACCAGGCAATAATAAGCCACAAATGTTATAGGCGAGTAAACATGTAAACACATTCAAATATAAAATGATCGATACCGTTATTGAATTATATCAACGACTTAATCATTAAAGCTAGTAGTTGGAATATAAGGTGAGGTGTTATAATAACTCTTCCCACCATCTATAAACTATTTGATACAATTCACTTACTCCTTGCTGCCCTCCAGTTTTATCATCTCGTCCAGATTTTAAATTTACATTTGGTTCACAATAACAGCTTTCTAAAAATATGACACCAGATGGTCGTTCTGCCCGTTCACCATCAAAATAAAACAACAAATTCTGATAAAGTATGAAGTAACTAGCAGGAAGAAAAAATAGAGGTAAATTTAACATTGAAGTTTAGTTGTACTTTAAAAAATTCGTAAATATGTCAAAAGAGTAAAGGCTTTAAGTTACCTAAGTTTAAAAAAAAATGCAAACTTCAATGATGTACTGTTTTTAAATTGTTGTGGTCATAATATTTGAATGCCAGATTGATAGTTTACAGTTTTGAATCTTGTTGGTTCAAAATACATCAGTGATAACGTCTCAAAATATGAAATGTAGAATATTAATTTCCTTGGGATTACAGGTTACACGAGTGGCAAACGATACATCGTTTAGGTAGAGGATTTTCAGTCAAATACTTTCGATTACTTTGTAGAATTATTATTTGCTTTCAGAATAATTTATTTCAAACTTATAGTTCTCTTTACAAACTGTCAATTTGTTACTCGATTGCATAAATATGAAATTTACTTGTCACAAATTTTCTGGATTAGGTCACGAAGTGAAAGTCTACTCTCTCTAACTTGACTAAACATCTTCATTGATTATAAATAAGAAATAAAAAACACATTATCGTACAGTTAAATGTTGTATTCGATAAAATTTCCGTCTTCAAATATCGAAATCAAACAACGTCAGTCAATTGAAAATTTTCAGATGTTAACATTGTATTAACTTTTCTTTGTACAGACTTTTGAAGCATCAGTACTTTAGAATGATTATATGAAACTATAGGAACTCAGTTATGGAATCGTGATAATAATCATTTAGACTGATAAATAGTAAGTTATAGATAGTAATTTTTAAGGAAAGATCTCACTTTATTATTATACGGTTGTGGAGATTGTTGAGTTTCACTAAAATCATGGATTGATCAATATTAGACCATAACTAGTAACCTAAAGACACTAGAAAATCATCTCATCTTAGTGTAAGACGCATCATTATTGCACAAGAGGAGATATAACCTAGAATCTCTGGCCTTCCGTAAGAATGGTTAACCTCCAGATCGCTGAGTCAACATCCTATAGTGGTAATGTCCTAACTTCAGTCAATCCACAGTATTCCTTGGCCGCATGCATTATTTTTGCTGGGTAAATGCCTAGCACACAACTGGGTTGAACTCTAGTGATTACGGCTTTTAACTGGAACTATGAAAATTCCTTCACGAAGATAGTTATTTATGATGTTGAGGATGCTAGATCCCTGGGCAATCCTTTTAATTTTGTCATTTATTTTTGGAAATTTGAATTCCTTATTTTCGCGACAAAGCACCCCTTATTAACTTTATATTGTGTTCCGTACCTAGGAGGAGCTTAAACTTCATTCGTTAGTTTCTTCTTTTAGTGTACTATTTTTTTTATCTCTTTCAAGGACGCTTTGTGTACTATATAAGTCGCACGATTTGAACTTCATGCCCTAGTCAGCTGGGTTGAGTCGCAGAGAATGTACTAGCTGTCCTGTTTTTGTGTTTCTGGTTTCCTTTCCATTCGCTAATATCTAGTCGTGTCTTAATTCATGCCAGCATAACAGATGAGCACATGAGATTTTCCATCATACAGTTGGATTAAGTGATGCGAAGTCGTAGATTTTTCGAAGTTAGATAATAATATTGCTGGATGCCAACTCAGTGGTCAAGAGTTTAGGCATTCGCGCTCAAGGTCGAAGGTCCTTGGTTCAATTTCCACTTGCGGTTTTGTGAGTGCAGGCTGCTGATTATTCCCATAATAGGACGATTTTATTTGCTATAATTATTTATTAGGAGGTTTGGAGATAGTTGATACGAAGCCATGAACCCAGATTTATTTCTGTTTGATATTCGTCATTAAGATGTACTTGTAATCTCGAGGATGGTTGTACTTCCTGGTGGGTTTGAACCTAAATCACTCACCTTCACTGTCAGAGACGCTACCATTGAACTGTCCGAATCTCTGATGTAAAACTATGTATAACTACACTTATTACTCTGTTGGAGTGATTACGTAAGCAAATGCTGATTACACTGAGAAATGATGCACATATATAAAGCATTTTTAACACTTGGAATGTATAATTAACAACGAAACCCATGCTCATAATTGTGTGTCCAATACATCCAACCAACCAGGAACCTAAAGTAATGTATACGGCTACCAAGTCACTTACAATAGTGGTCATTTTACAACTAGATCGATATAGTTCAATCAGTACTTGTCAATATTAGACAAATATGACTTTGATCATTCACTACTGCCATTTTCATACAGACACTTTTTGTTTTAAATGTAATTAAGCATTACAGTGGTTGTGGATATTGTTGAGTTACTTTTTTTTGAAATCATGCATCGATCAATGCTAGACCATCATCAGAAATCTGGAAGCATTGGACAACTGTTTCATCCTGGTATGGCCACACATTAGCAGTGATCATCCACAATATTACCTAATTGGATAGTACATGTAAATTGTAATGTTTTAGAAACAAAACAAAAAAATTAGTCATTTATTATACATTAATTGATAGATAATAACAACTGTTTCAATCCCAGGCTTACCGTAATTGCCATTTACTAGTATCTAAACTTTTCTTCCATAAATTTCCAGATAATTTAGCTAAACTATTTTCACGAGCTTTATTCACCAAATAATATAATTGATGTTCATTTGTACGAATAGATTTTTGCATTTTTTTATTCTGTTATTATTATTTTTATTATGATTAATAATAATAATATTTAATTTATATTTCATGAAAAATCAATGCCATTTATTATTTATCTCCTAATTTTCTATTGTATTCAGTTGAATTCTTCTCACTGTATTTTTTCCCTTTCTGTTTTTCTCTCTCTCTCTCTCACTCACTTTCTCTTATTTTCTATCAACAATGTTTGTTTGTATTGAAATTTATTGTTGGTTTTGTATAATTTCACTTTGTATCGGAATCAATGTGTATAAGTTTTTAAAATAAAATGAATTTTTGTTGATGTTCAGCTTGAATGAGAAATCTGTAAAATAAGAAGAATATAACATGAAATAAACAAGGTGAGTAGTAGTAGTATTAGTAGTAATAGTAGTAGTGTGGTGCACGCTACTCATAAGTAGTATATGACGCGAGTAAAAACGTAATGTTTGGCAGCAGCAGATGGGGGAAGATCAAGAAAGGAAGAAGAGCGGGAACACAATGCAATTTGTATGAAACTCATGAACAGTGAAATGTCAAACAATGGATTGATGTTTGTAACAGGAATAGTCCAATTCGATATGATGGATTGATATTTTGTAAATTAACGATTTACGATAGGGTTTTTCTATTTTACCAATTACCAATCACCAAATTTTGATTTCCCAGGCACCATCAGCAACCACCTATCTTAACAGGGAATGAACTAGCGTCCAAATGAAGAAGGAATTAGGAAAAAACGGTGGTGGATAAGATTTGCACAGTGGAAATCATACAAATGGATCACTGGGTAAGCGCTGACATGGAGTACGCAAGGCAAAAGTAAGAAAAGAATACCGAAGAACACACTGCTATGGGAGTTGAAGGCAGATATCAAAAGAATGTATTTTACTTAGGAATAACTGTAAACGAGAGCCTAAGAGAACGTTGGTCGGAGATTGCTAGTTGGCGACCTATGCTCCACCAGTGACAACAAGTGTAAGTAACATAAACTAGTAATTTCTCAGGTCTTCTCGTTCTTGTGCTGTTAGTTAGGTGTTGTCTCTCTTTTCGATCGTGTTGGTGGTACTATGGTTCGCCTTATTTTTTGTTGAGTTTCTTCATTTATTCCGGCCGTTTCGAGTGATGACTATAGTGAGGCGAGGAATCTGAGTTTTGGAGCGTCATTTATGTTGTCGTTCAATCCTTTTCAAAAGGAATGGTCTTCAGTGTTCGTCAAATGTTTTTTCTGACAGGTTGCTTACACAGATGCTTGTGTTTCCTTCTAAGGATGGTTTTGAAACCTTGACCAGCTTTTATTTGAGAATGCTTCTTCTTGGCTATCTCATTAATTACCAAATTTTACATGCAATCATGCGTTCAATTTTATATATATATTTCACTATAGAGTTATAGAGATGATTGAGTTTCATTGAAATTATGAATCGATCATTGTTTGACCACCATTAGAAACCTAGAAAGACTAGACGGTCAATACGTCTTAGTATAATACTTATCAGCATTGTGCATCTACAACCTGCACGCCCAGCAATCGAACCCAAGACCTTCAGTCTCGCGTGTGAATGCTTAACCTCTTCACCGCCGAGCCAGCATCCAACGGTGTTAATGTCTGACTTTGATCAATCTAGGGGATTTAACATTTAAAGAATATCAATTTTCTCTAGGTTATCTTTTGTTTAAATGAAACAAAATCAGTTATTTCACTCAGTTTATCCATATATATATATATACGTTTCTGACGAGATTGATTAATATTTTTTGTCAATCCTACTAATTGTACGTGCTACCAGTAACCAAGCATCAATGTTATCATCATCATCATCATAATAATAATAATAATAATTGTTACATTACACAGAAATCATTTTAACAATTATTCATTCATGTGTAAATATTATTCCTTTTCAATGTTCTAACTAGAACATTATGACGTAATTGAATACCTCCTGCTCTAATGTTACTACCACTAATATATACTACCACAACTATTACTGCTAATAGTAATAATAAGGGTAATAATAATAATAATATTAATAATCATATATCCAAGCCATGTTGATAATATAATTATAATAACAAGTTTAGAAATCTAACTATGGTTGACTGATTCAATGAAATCGGAGCAGAAGAGAATAGGAAAAAGCATATGCATATATAATATCACACACACACACAGACATACATACACGAACATGCACTTACATAGGCAATATAAATAAAGAATGAAAAATAAAATATCAACATTCACAATACACAAAAGTTTTGATTCACGTTATTTTCTTTCATGATAATGAATAACACGAATACCATAGAAATGATTGTCTCACAGATAATAAAAACAATAATAATAATAATAATTATTATTATTATTATTACTATTATACGACAATAGTATCTTATTACCTAATGAAGACTGTTATCAAAATGTAAAAGTCACTGTTGCGTTATTACATGACATGGGAAAAAGAATAGTTACAAATTCGACTTATCCTGTATGATAATACTATCTATCGTACATTGGAGAAAACAAACAATGTCTGTATGTCTGTATGTATGTATGTATGTGTATGTGTGTGAGAGTGAGTAAAGGAAAAGTATTCACTGTCATCTCATGGATTGCATCGCTCTCTGTCTCACTGTCTCTCTCATTCTAATACATGTGTTACAGTGTCCCGTTTGAAATCGTTAAGCATAGATTAGTTCAGTTGGTCATAGTAAATACAATTGATGAAAGTCAATAAATTATAAATAAAAAAAGTAAGAGAATGGATTGCAATGAATTACAATGACGTATGTAGGAATTTTTCCGATAATCTAATTGACTAAATAGAATAGTTAACGATATATATATATATATATATATATAACTTGATAAATAGGTATGTCTATGTACTTGTGCATTATTCACAAATATCAAGATAGATAGAAGATAGATTGGTAATCATAATTAATTAATTTTTTCTAAATGAAAAACTTTGTTCATAAATCAATTGAGTTTTGTTTTCGGCTAGATTATGAGCAAGTATTTGGATAGTACATAATTTATCAGTTGTGGATAATAGTTTAATTTTTTGAATTCTGTTTACTTTATAACAAACTATTTTTGTTGTGAGTATACTGAAGAAAAACATTACGGATGAAAAAGTATAGGGAACCGGTAAATTAAGAATAGATAACTAGATTAATATTACTATTATTATTATTATTATTATTACTATTATTTATTTTTGAGATTGTCTAAACATTTTTTTTTAATCATTGCTACACTAGGCATTAGTTAGATAGATTTTACTAGGCTAGGATCTGACTGCAATTTGGACGAAGAATTGAATATTCTTCAACTTCCCTCTATCTTTATTGAATGACCTCTGTTTGTGTGATAGCGGTGATAAGAAGCAAAAGATGGATTGTGTCGGATGAGTTTGTTCCTCGCAATCGTTCATTCAAACAGATATGAGGTTAAAAAGCGTAAAATCAAGGCGAAACAAAGTTAAATGAAGTGAATAAGGTGAGTTGGAAAGTTCATTGTGATGAAGTATTGTGGTGTGAGCTACTTATAAGTGGTATATGACGTGAGTGTCAACGTAATGTCGGGCAGCAGAAGATGGAGGAAGATCAAGAAGGGAAGAGTTAGAAAACAATGGAATTTGTATGAAACGCATGAACAGTGACAATGGATTAATGTTTTGCAACAGGAACAGTCCAGTTTGATGTGATGAACTGATAATTTGCAAATTAACGATTTACGATATGGTTTTCCAATTTTACTGAGTAACTCTGTAATTTCGCTAAATACAATTCGGTTGCCCCACCTGTGTTCTCGTTCACTTCAGTATGACTAAGTATATATGGTCAGACAAAATTAAACTAGACATATGATATGCAAAGTAAGCAGTGTACATATGCTCTCAAGTAAAAGCAACCAAGAGTATAAGCGAATAATTGACGAGGTCGAAAGACGTGTGAATAGTAATTCAGGCAAAATGGATTAATCAGTTTGTCGAAAGTCCAGGACAAGCCACTACAAGATCTTTATTCTTAGAATGTACTTTGTAACCTTCTTTGATTATTTAAACCGTTTATGTGAATAAAAATTGGTTGGACATAAACTCTAAGATGTAAAAATTGTTTATGATTGCTTTTGTTTTAATTATTGACTGCTCTTGATGTAGTGAGTGAATTAGAAGTGGCATAATATGAAGGCCATCCGATAATCGTCAGGGAACGTCCTAAGGGACGAATACATAGCATTAGACAAGAAATAGCTCCCTATTATGGGGAGGTCGAATATATATGCAAAGACGAGGATATGTACTTATTATTCGGTAGTCAAACGGATCTTATTTCCTTCTTTTACCTTCTCGCTCAAGTAACCAGTTAGGGGGGGTTTGTACATATCGCGTTCAGATCTGGAACAGCACACATCATAATAGACCTTAACTGGATGACTGCTTCGTCTTAGTATGTGGTTCTTCAGTAATGGTCCTGGTGTAAGAAGAGAAGAAGAAGCCACTTATAAGAAGTATTGTAGTGGGGTCGTGGATGTGTAGTGCCAAGATGCTGCCCACAGTTTGATCAAAGAACTATTCATTACTTTCTGATTTTAAGTAATGGTTTACTTAAGATCAGTTCCTGATTCAAACTATGAATAAATGTTCAGTTTAAAGACAAATACTCATAAATTTGTTAGAATATTTTTCATTAATTCTGTTTTCAATCTGAGCCAATCAACAATGAACATGTTGCTTCAAGGTTACGATGCATATGATCAGAATAAGATGCTGTTTATTTATAGTGGTATGAATAATCTTATTTAGGACTACTTAACAATACTCATCCATTGTACCGCACCCAACAATCAAAAACAAAACCTTTGGTCTTGCGTATGAATGCCTAAACTTTAGATCACTGAGTCAACATGCACTGGTATAGTTATTTAACTTCAATCAATTAACGACACTGTGAGCAATTGAAGAATCCCATACTGGGATAAAGTGGCCATTAAG